TGGGCCCAATAATAAACACATTCCTCTGTGGATTTTTTAATTGAAAAATGGTAATCAAGTGCATAAAATATGTAAATTTGCAGTTACCAAGAACACTACAGCTATGGAAGTCATCATTTGACTTTCAAAAACACCAATTTTTTTTCCTTTTACTATTTGTGTCTTTTGTTCTCTGCTTGTGCCCACAGATCCGGCCGACAAGGCATACTGGGAGGAGACTCCGCGAAACAGGCCGGGGTCCCCATGACCAACAGGAACGCCATCTCCACCATCAGTAACGAGGGCAAGGACGGACACACAGCCGAGAACGGACCTAACGGCGGCGCAGTCAGTGGGGATGGGTCGAGGAATCAATCACCAACTCCAGGTGAGCACGAAATTGTCCCCGGGAACGGCGCGTCCTCGTCAACGGCGTGGTACTTCAAACTGTCCTGGGTGCTGTCAAACGTCATCACCTGCGCCGCTCCAATAGTGACCATCGTCATCTTTGCTGCGATCTACCCCACACTGAACAGAGACGAGTCGTATGTGAACCTACAAGATGTGAACGTCCACATTCTCAACTTTGTCTTCGTCGTTGTGGATCACCTCATTAGCGCAAGACCTGTGAGGCTCCTTCACGTCTACCTTCCCTTCATCTACGGGCTGGCCTACCTCATCTTCAGCGTCATCTACTGGTCCACGGATCACATAAATCACGTGATCTATGATAAATTGGACTGGAACGACCCTTGTACCCCTTACGGAGTGTCCATTGTTTTTTTTATTTATTGCCATACCCCTAGTACACCTCACCTTCTTTGGACTCTACAGGCTCAAACTTTACATCTGTAAAAAAGTTTATGGGTATGATCTTGATGAGACTTTGAGGAAGCATTGTTAGCTCAGCTGGTATTAAGCTGGACTAGAGAGCGGATGGCCCTGGTTCAGACCCCAATGAGCATTTTGAATTCTATTGTTTTTTGGAGAGATTTAAGGCTCCCTAGCGTTTTGGCTACACTATATCGGAGATGGACCTTAAATTTAGTGCCCGCGCCTCTTAATAAGCCTCACAGTGTTGAAAGAGGCGTTAAATGTATACAATCCATATATTAATCTTTAAAACATATTGTTGTTGGGGGTTTTTTGGGGGGGTTTTTTTTGTTATAGCCAAAGTTTGTCACAGATAACAACTTTGTTAATTTTAACCAGCCCAGTAGTAGTTGCTTAATTATAGTGTGATGCTTTCATTTATTATTAGGGAAAATATATATTGTTGAATAGAAGTACATTTCTTTTGTTTGTATGTTTAAGTAAGGAGAGGCATATCGACACGATAATGGCCGTTTAGTGTTGGGGAAAGGTAAGACAAAGAGACAGAAACAACAGAGGGGAAAGTTTAAAAAAGCAGGACCTACCAGTGGCACCGTTCAACCACTAACGAAGTACATTTCGATCCTCCACTCGTAAGATATGACTATCGAAATATTGCCCTTCAAAAAGTGGTTGGAGACCCCTGTTGTGAGTAGTAACTTAACCCTATACGTACATCGTGTTTTACTATCGTATCCATACGACGTGGGGAACTGTGCCACCACTTTCCAAAGAGGAAATTTACCCGTTAATTCGATCAGTACGCTTTGCATAGCAGTCTGTCAAAACGATTTTTTGAGAAATACTGAAAGTTTCAAAGAGATCTTCGTACTAAAAGTATTCTAAAATGTGAAGAATACAACCCCGGGGAAACATAATGACCACAAGGCGTACGGATAGGGTTAAGAGGGGGGGGGAGGCTGGTGTTAAGTTGACGATTTTGGTCAATGTATGGTATCTGGACTTTTTAAGTATTATAATACTTCAACCACTTTTTAATCTAAAAAAGGCTTACTCTTTGTGTTACAATCAATATCTTTCAGATTTTTCTGTCCTTCAACGTTTAGTTTGCCCATTCTGTAACAATACATGTCGTTTTACTCAAAACTTCAACGTTTGATACATGTAGCTTTTTCTCCTCTACATTTTTATTTTGTTTTTGATTCCAATGAAATTTTCAGCGCTTGTTATTCACACCATAACCTAACTTTATACAGGTGGTAAAGCAAATCGATGCTTTCCCAAGTGAGTGACGTGGATGATTATGTAATCGAAGGTCAGTTATCCATTTGTAACTTTTTTTCCCATTCAAGATATCTAAGAGCCCAACTGTATAAAATTTTGTATTTGAGCAAATTCGGTTGGTAAATAAGAAAATCCTTTTTACATTTATTAAAGCTGTATATTTTCAATATGGCGCCGTTACCCTTGTAAAGGTAAATTTAATTTTTTTTTTTTAATGAAAATGGCATTTTAGAGGTGCTATCCTGTTATACCTCCTTGTTATAAGGTTTTGTCTGGAAGGTCATAGTTACCGTGATAGGTATATAATATACCCCCCCACCCCCACCCCCACCCTTAAGTTAGTTTTGGACGTGTTAGATCACGAGGCAGCAGACACGGACTACTAAGAACAGACAAAGAAAGATACAAAAGAAATTTTCTACCTTCTGGAATAAGGCTGATGTCAAAATAAATATTAATGTGTTTTGCTATTGATTTTCTAAATTGCATAATATATAATTCGAATATATCTATAAATATGCCTCTAAAGGTCTGTGATAAATTCCTGCATGTGGTTGAATGACGCACCTGATGTGATATATGTATTATTGTTAGCTTTACCTTTCTTTTCATATTATTGAATTTTTATGAAAATAATATTATACTCTTAATTCTATGTATATTTTCATATAGTGTTTGTGCCATTCCTGTACAGCCAAGAAAAATGCCTCTCCGCTGTCGAAATAAATATTAATGTGTATTGCTGTTGATTTTTACAATTACATAATCTATAAGTAAAGTAGAACCTGTGTAAGACGGCCACCCATTGTCAAGGAGAAAAGTGGCCGTATAAGGCAGGTGAACGTCTTAGGCAGGACTTATCAAGATGAAGAAAACAAACCATTCCTTTCTGAGAAAATATACCCTTCCTCTCTGAGGTCCCAACCAAAGGTAGTTGCATTGTTGTTTGTTGTTATTTTTGTTGCTGTTGTTTTCGCTGGGGGTTTTTTCTTTTGTAGCTGCTTTTGTGCACGGGTGACAGAAAAACGAAGTGTGTCAGACAAGGAGGACTAAGTGCCATGGTAAAACAAACACACTGGTCGCCACGACACGGAGAAGACTGTCACAAGCTCATTCAGACGTCCGTTGTTACTTTGTTACAGACTGGGTAAACATGCAGTGACCACTCATCTCACTTACGATTTGTGTACGGGTTCTGGGCGGGGCTAATGGGTTATGAGGGATCACACGCTTACCTCCCCAGCAGCTGAAAATTAATTTTGTTACCTATTGGTCAACAGTGGGAGGGGCCTACGCAACATGATCAGTTGGAGGGACTACCTAACAACGACAGGTTTTTAGACTAAGACGGGTCGCCCACAACGCCAGGGACCAATGCTTGATTTATGACAAAGCGTTATGGAGTCACAAAGTGGCCTCTAAGACAGGTGTTATTGCTTTGTGTGATAGGGGTTGTGTGTTGAAATATGGTAGCCGCGGCCGCGTTGGACAGGTGCCCGTTTTACACAGTCAAATTATATAGAAAAAACGCAAGGCGGGAAATGGAAAGTGTCCGTTTGTACAGGTGGCCGTCTTATAGAGGTGGCCGTCAGGGCAGGTTCGACTGTATTATATTTGTGAAAGTTCGTCACTTTCACCGCCTAAAACTTCCGAACCGCTTAACTTTCGAATTTGAAAAAATTAGCTGTGGTTCAGAATCATTTAGAGGGTGCACAGTTTTACTAAGGAGTCTGAAGTCAGTGTAGCTTAAATTTCAGTTTTTCATTACTTTCGTTTAGATCCAATCTTAGGAAAGTCCGTCTCCTTAGACGCCATTGTAAACAAGAGAGGCTTCCGTTCACAAAGACTGCGTGCACCGATCCCACAATGACTTGACGATCGATTCTTTGAGTCCATTAATCGAATGGGAATCCCAGCTATCCAAACCACTTAACTTTCGAATTTGACAAAATAAACGGTGGTTCAGAATCATTTAAAGGGTGCACAGCTTCATTGAGGAGCCTGAAGTCCCTGTAGTTTTATTTTCAGTATTTCATTAGTTTCATTTACATCCAATCTTGAGAAAGTTCGTCTTCTAAGGCGCCAATGTAAACATTTATTCCACACCTTTGAAATTATGGGGTGTACAACCACGAAAGCGGAATAGAGAATCAATCTATACGACTACATATATTATATATTTGGCAACTTGGAAATGCGTTAGTCACTTTTCTCTCAAGATTTATAGCTCCATTTTAGTAGAATGTAAATATAGTAGGCCAATGACTTTCAGTTGATGTTAATGCACCGATCATTTCTTTCTTCGAAAGGGAGCCCAGCTAGTATATAATTTTAATATATCTATATGTTTCTAAATCTAAAGGTCTAAATTCCTGCATGTGGTTGAATGATGCATCTGATGTGATATTATAATAATAATATGTATTATTGTTAGCTTTACTTTTCTCTTCCTATTATAGAATTTTAATAAAAGTAAAAGATAATTTTTATTCTATGTAATTTACATGTGTTTTTACCATTCCTGTACAGCCAAGAAAAATGTTCCTCTGGGACAATAAAGTATCATCTTATTTTATTTTATTTTATCTTATAATAAAATTTACTTTCACACATTATTGTGTACTTTTTTGTCTTTACATCGTGTATCTTCCCGAGTGGCCCAAAGATACCCCATCCCCATCTGTTCAGGTTTTCCCAATACGTTTCTCAAGGCCTCGTTTGCCTCCATTTTTACAAATGAGAAAAAGATGTTCAAGGCCTTTATGCCGATTCAAATGTCACAGGAACTGCAGTAATCTGTCACTTCCTAATTATTTTACTTGTGAACTGCCCAAGTGATCTCCCGCTAATAACAACAACAAAAAAACACAAACAAAAAACACACAAAAAAACAACTGAAACAGTTTGGGAATATTCACAACACGTAATTTATTTATTCGTTTACGGCTACCACTATATGGTCATGAGGAATGTTTTGACGTCGATGGACAGGGGTTGCAAATCGTTGGTCAAAGTCAAGAGTCTAGATGAGTTCTGGTCAAATGATTACGTCACAGGGCGGGTCTCGATCCAGGTTTTGATGTTTTCTATGGCGCCAACTTTGGCGACGAGAGCCTTGACCAGGGGGAACTTGTCCAAGGAGCAGACCTTGTCGTCCAGCATGCCCGTAATTAGGTCAAAGACGGCCAGGTCAGCCAGTGACAACTGAGGGGACAAGAGATGTTTTATGTTTTAGTAGAGGTTTTACGGCGCTCACAAACTGCTTAAGGTCATAGGAGCGCCAATGGGTGGATGTCAACAGAAAATCCCTTACAGGGAATCAGGCTTACTCTGCTGACCTCTCTAGCTTCAACAGCACAAAGTCTGCTTCGACTATAAAGGCACCCAGAAATAGCAGGTCACAAGAGTGTGACAAACATTCAGAAGAAGTAGAAGAAAATGACGATAGTATGGATGAGGAAAGAAGAAACAGCAGTTCCCTGTTGCAGGTCAGGCACAGTTATGAGCATGACATTGATGAATCAGCCCATTTACGATTACAATTTTACTGTGCTTAAGAGCGCAGTTAATGTCCCCCCTTTGGGAATGACCTAAAGACATTTCAGTCAGTAGCACCGGGGGGTAGGACAAGAGAGAAAGTGGAGGTAAGGTTACAATTATTACGTATTGTTGTTACGATGAATACTACGTTTTTTTAAAATTAATGATAGTTTCAAGGTAGGATGGTGTAGGTTTAACCCCACTACCGACACTATTGGGTTATTTAAGAGGTGGGACCTCTGAGCGAAACGTCCATCTCCGAAGTGACAATGCCAAATGGGAAATTCGTGTAAAGTGCCTTTCCCAAGGACACCTTGTCAGACCAAGCTGAAGCTCGAATCCTCGAACCCACAATCTCATCCTCTTGTTGTTCTTCTTGTTCTTTTTGTTTTTCTTCTTCTTCTTCTTCTTCTTCTTCTTCTTCTTCTTCTTCTTCTTCTTCTTCTTCTTCTTCTTCTTCTTCTTCTTCTTCTTCTTCTTCTACCACT